TGAACTCCAAACTTAAAACTATTCCCAGTGATCTCTCTCATTTCCCTAAAATGCTTTGTCTGAGCTTTCGAGAGACCTCCCCCCATACTCACGAAAAGAATCTGTCTCCGTCCAGCGAAGAAGATGAGGGCCCAGTCGACGTCCGCGACGATGAGTATAGGATGCGGGAAACGTATAGCTTTCAAGCTATCACGCCGAAACGTATAGCCTTCCAAACTATCATGTCGGGGTCACCACTTGTGGTGGTCTGACAATTGAAAAATGGGAGACGCAGGGAAACGTCTGAGCAATTGCCAGCCCCGAGAGCACTCGGGTAGCAGTATTTATTAAGAAAATGCAAATACAAAATCAAAACAATTACCTCAGCAGCATTATCTCAGCCAGGCCTCGGCGAAGGTGATAAAGTTCCCGTGAGAATATCCAGGCACCAAAGGTCTCATGGGAATGGCTCAGCTAGGTACTGTGAACCCCCACGCACATTCCTGGTCTCTGAGCTTTGCAGACCATAACAGGATCAAACTCTCATCATAAAGACACTACTGCCCTCATGAGGAGCGTTTGTGATACCCCCAGATCTATACAAAGCTGTACAAGAACTTGCAGAATATGATGGATATATTACCACAAGAATTACACTAGAGCCTCAACTTTTTACTTTTACATAGTTAATATACACTCACCATTTCTATATCAGCAAACTTATCTAATTAGTGAAACCCAATGTCAATGTTTCATTTTTTCCATCTCAAGCACAAAATCCAGAAGCAGTTTCTCAACAATAAGTTAGATGAATTCTTTTCTTCTATATTAAAATATGAATCCTATCTCAGTATTTCTTTGCTTTATCATGTCCATCAAAGATGGCAAGAGGTTTCTTCTTTATGTTTACTTTTCCAACAGACATTTGAAATACCCTTGTATATGTCTGACTATTTATCAGGTGTCAAATACAAATGGTACATCATTTTATTTAAAAAATATTTTAGATGATAATTTAATATAAATTTTAAACCCTTCATCTATGGAAAGACAGGCTTATTCTCATGCACCCTCATCTACCAGGCTGTCGCTGGCTTGGTTCCACCACCAGCTTACGTGTTCAAAGGGAAATCTGAAGTGAGTAATCTGCTTGGTTTCCCTAAGTTTTACATGCCATTTAGAATTGTACTTCTTTAAACTAAAATAAGAATATTTCCTTCTAAGAATTAAAGGATATATAACTACCAGGAATATATTTTTATGATCCTCCTTCAGTCTTTTTAAAGTTACTTAAAAAGTTATACAACTGGGCATATATAATCAATTCGTTTCATACACATTTCCAAAAACCGTTTCCTTCTTTCAAAAAAAAATAGCGTGTTCAGATTAATATCATCCCTTCATTGTTCCACACGCACACCTGCCAATCACTGTTACTAATTTTTCAGGATAGATAAGAAGATGCATATTTATAAACTACCATATTTTCCAAAGTGTGCAAAGTCTTTTATGAAGTAACTGGAATCACCTTCCCTTCACCTGGATCGAAGTCTTCCAAGGACTGGGTCAAATGCTATCTTTGATACAGTTTCCTCTGTCCCTCTTGGCTTCTATTGGGTTACAAAATAATCCCATCATTAGATACTAATCCTGACCCTGCCCATGGGAACAGTCTGTTTATCCCACTCTGGAATCAATCCAGAAGTTCTGGTCTTTCCTTCTGTTTAATGGGCTGATCCAATATAGGTACAGACTATGAAAGCCTGAATCATTCCTGGCAGGAGTTTTGTGTTTGTTTTACTAAAAAGCAAACGTGATTATCTGCAACTCTCTTTCTATTCTCACTCAGTTTGTACTAATTTTACAAGGGAAGGGAAGGGAAGGGAAAGGCTATTTATTGGTTTATCCTTCTTCAGGCTTTTGATTATTATTATTTAATCGAATAGCAAAGCATGTGTCACCCCTTTTTTTTACAGTATTCCGTTGCTCAGAATGATAAGACATTCATCAGTCTGAGCTTGCTGGCTTTTCCCAGGCACAAAAATACCATATGCATAAAGGAGATTGAGTTGGGAAATATGAAGCTGTAATGTATGTAATTCCATGAGTTTGTTTGGGAAGGAAATTGTCAGTAAAAAAAAAGTGCAATTTTCATCAGCATTAATATTGTGTGAGGTCAACTACATTACCAGTCATTTCCATTTATTTGAAAAATAATTTGAACAACTACATCTGCAGCTCATATTCAGTCTAATCTTCCCCATCCCTAGTGCTGGTGGGGGATTATTCCAGAAAAGCATTTTATTTGATCTGTTATTATACATGTACTGTATGAAACCTTGCCATAAAGATAAGGATTTGATTGCCACAGCAGGAGCCTAAATTATTTTAAGTAAAAATGCTCTTTTGTTTGTGTTAATGTTGCCTGTTGCAGTGAAATTTCCTCACACACCAGGGACTCCTGCATAAGCCTCTATGTCAGGGGTGTCAAACTTGCATCATCACGGAGTCGTCACATGACTTACCACAACTTCCCCCCTTCAGTAAACCAGGCATGGGTGTGGCCAACACATGATGCATCCAGCCCGCAAGTTTGACCCCACTACTCTATGGTGTCCACTAGTTTATTCACCAACCTGGCATCTGTATTGCTACCATTGGAGCCTGAAAACCCTTGCATGGTTTTCATATGACTTAGGGTCTTTCTCCAATTGTATCTCAAAATGGCAAACATGCCCTGGCAACATCTTTTTTCTAATGTATTCCTTTGATGTTGCCTTCTTCTTGTCCCAACCTTTTGAGTGAGTCATAAGTCATCTTTACCTCTTCTGGGTTTGACATACTTTTTTCCACCTTATTTTGATACATTCCAACGATAGCTTTGAAAGTGGATTCACTTTGAGGCTTGGGTGTGTTTAAGTCAGAGGGATGGCAATATCTGGAACAGAAGCAATAGAAACAAGATAGGCTACAGGGATAAACAATCCAGTGTGGTCCAGTTTTCCTGCCATTCAAGCGTGGATGGAGATAACTTCAACTCAACAATGGGGAAAACTCCTTTGTATGTTATGTGTTCAATGTATTTACCGAACTTAGAAAAACAGTTCAGTTCATAACTAAGCACATTACAGAAACATAGCCATTATCTCTACTGTTAGACACCAATAAAGGTAGTCCTTGACTTATGATCAATTGCTTAGCAACTGTTCAAAGTTACAATATATCTCCCTTGACCACATTTCAGGTGCTGGGCAACAGGCCCACATTAACAGCATCCTGTTTGCAGCATCCTGCAGTCACCTGACCTTGTTTTGTGATGGCTTTGCTGAAAATTGGCATTTACTTCTAGTTTTTGGCAAAAACAATCTGTAATGAACTATTGATTTACTTAACAACGACCACAAAAAAGGTCACAAAATTGGGTTGATCGTGTGGGTGACCTGATTTATGACCGTCATGACTTACAACTGTAATGGGCAGACTCTATTATGGTCATAACTCGAAAACTATCTGTAATAGTTTTTCAATGTAAAAAATATTGTGCAGGGGATCTGTATATTTATATTCTTTTTGCAATCCTTAAATGCTTTTGTGGTGTTTCAAAAAACATACATTATAGCAAGGGGAAAAAATTCAAACCACTTCAGTTCAATACAAATGATAGAACTACTCATTGTTCTATATCTACTAGATGTTTTACATTACAGTTTAATTTTATAGTTGGTTATTATTACTCATGATATTGATTTTGCCTTTTGCTCTTTAAACTGCTCAGAGTGTTATCTGCTGATGGGGAAGCTTGCCCATTTAATGAATCATTATTGTCCATGTCCAGCCTAACCTGGACTTAAAAGGCTGCCCATATCAGTGAAACAAAATTATTGAAGGAAAAATACACACCCCTTTAAATGCTTCCCATTTAGAGCTAATATTTATCAGATTAGCTAGAGAACTTAGAATATCTAAATCACCCTGATATACTTTTTGAGAGTCAAATAGGTTTCCTTCCCATGGTATTCAGACTATCAGGATCTTCCAGCCAACAAGTGAAACAAGATCTTTTTTCTAAAACAGCTTTGCTGATCTGGTGTCCCTACCTCACAGGTATCGTTGTTCAGTGTTTCTATTACATGGTTATTAATACCCCATGGTGAGATGGCAAATAAATTAACAAATAATAGGTTTGCTTCCCCCACCCACCACTTTCTGCCCTTCATTTTTATTCCTACGGATCTTTTACTTTTAAAACTTAGTGAGATCAGCTGTTCAGAACAAGCCTGGATCTGGGAACTGGTTCACCAATCGCCTGAAATGGCAGGCTAGGGAATATTATAATAGAAAAGTGACAGGAGTGCTGTGAGGTCCTTAACTCTCTTCTTCTCAACCTTCCTCTCACCTCCACCACCAATCTTTGTGATTCCTCACTCTCTGCTGTGTTGCCAGCCACATGTTTTTTTAATCACAGAAGTTAATTAGTTTCAATGGAAAATGTGAAGAAAAAAGATAAAGTATCATCTCCAGTTTGCTGTACCTCTGATCCAGATTACTATTTTCCAGAGTTACACTGTTCTTTTAAAAATATTTACTTTGACCTCAATTTTATTTGCATTCTATTTGCTTTTTGACTTTAAAAAAACATTCTTTGAAAAGAAAACTCTACTTCCAAAATAAAAACTGAAGAATGCAAATACTGTACATGCAAATTTTCGGAGTCTGTGTTTCTGTTACTTTCTACTAACCCAAGCAATTGCAGAAAAAAAATAAGAATATAGTATTAGGTGCTGAATGCTACCTTCTTAAAAAAGATTTTCAAAAGCACATTATTAGACGATCTAGAACCTGACTACCAATCTGTTTTGGAATACATTGCTTGAAGAAAGAACTCATAGTAATTCTGCTTCTTAACATTTCACCTGTTTTTCTGTCCTTTTGTTTTGGACAAGAATTCTGATCATCCTGGGTTTTTTCACTATACATTTCCCTTTGTCTGGTATGGCTTGTCTACTTTCATGCATCTGATCCCAAAGCTCACACAAATGATTATTATTATTTTCCCACTTTTGATTCCTTCAAATATGGAGGTAGAGGAAAACTGGACGGACGACATTCAAAATTAATACAGCACTTTAAAAGTAATCCAAGCACATTTTATGTTATCCCTGTTCCCCTCAGAAGAGCCCTGTAATGTAGGTAGATCTGTATTAATGGTGTCTATATTGTTGGTGAAGGCTTCTGAATGAGAGGAACTAGTGGCCTGATCTGAATATGGCTGATCTGAAGATTCTTGTCTCAGTCTGTTTTAGGCATAGCGTTACATTCGTTTACAAGCTTGGCATCTTTACTGGTAGACAACGATATTCTGGTTTAAGTAGTAGATGGAGTCCAGGAGCATCACTCTCTGATCCATACTTTGAGTGTCATAAAGAAACAACTTTTTACCTCAGGAGTTGCAAAATTTCTCAGGCTGCCTACTTGTACCAGTCACTTAAGAGCAGCTGCTAAAGACCAGGTTGCGTTGAATGTGATCAGAATTCATCTCTGACTCTCAGCCTCCTGGACTTCACTCCAGAGTTAGAGTCCAATTTAATATTTCGGCTTGTGGATCTAGCTCTTCCCTTTGGAGCAGGAGGCTCTGGTGAATCCCCACTTTTAGGTACAAAACTGTTGTCCTTTGGGTCTTCTTTATGTGACTCTTCCTGTTCTGCCTCTTTCTGTCTCATCAGCTTTTCTGCTTGACTCCGTTCCTACAACCAGAAAGAACAAAGGAAGTGGAAAGAGAAAGGAGGAGCCAGTTAGAAAAGCGCTTTACCATTTGATGGTCTCCTTTTTACTAATGACTATTCTCAATATTTGCATGGGAAGTAATGTAATTTCAAATCAAGACACTTAGAAATTTATCCAGTGATTCTGTCCTTACATTTCCTCACTGCAGCCTTATTGGCAGCCCTTACTTTTTATTTTGTCTATGGACATGGACCCATTTCAGTGGTGGGATTCAAATTTTTTTACTAACGGTTCTGTGGGTGTGGCTTTGTGGGCGTGGCAGGGGAAGGAGACTGTGAAATCTCTAGTCAGAGGTGGTATTTGCCAGTTCTCTGAACTACTCAAAATTTCCGCTACTGGTTCTCCAGAACTGGTCAGAACCTGCTGAATACCACCTCTGGTCCATTTCTACCCCTTCCCTCTCTTCTTTGCTTGGTTACCTGTTCCTCATGCTCTGGAGAAAGGGTATACCAGAGGGCGATAGCACAGCGCCTCCCACGGGTCACAGCCCACACGCCATGAGGATTCTCTGCACCAGAGCTGAAGGCCACCAGTCTCCCGCATTTAGGGCGCACTTGAGCCTGCCAAAGAGAGAGGGGGGGAAAAACATTTTCTTGTTATGGCGACAAGTAGAGAATTGCTCAAGCCCAGTACAAAAGAAGTTAATGTATCTTCCAGCATAAAATTTGGCTGAATTTCCCTGATCGTTAGGGACAAATACTGTGAATTCAGTTTCAGTTGTCCTTCCTTCTCTCCTAATCCCATATCCAAGGCTTGAGGCAGACTCACTGTAAGGGTTACAGCATCCATCTCAGTGAAGAAGAGATTTCCCCCTTGGAAGTCTTCATTCAGGTAAAGGATTGCACTGTAGAGAAATGAGAAAATAAAGAAAGCTAAGGGTACCTGAGCACTTTTCCATGAACCTTCCTTCGCCTTAAATAATTAAGCTTCATATTTAAATTGCCAGAAATCAATATTCTTTTAAGAGAGAGTTTGCACAAAGGATGTTGCTAGAGCAGATTCAAAGGTTCACCTGGAAAAACATTATGTTTCTAATAAGGATCAAACAAATTATTCAGGGAAATGTACGTCATCTGAAGCAGCCTTCTTCAAACCGTTCCCTTACAAATTTGTTGCACTTCAACAACCAGCAATGTTGTCTGGATGCCAACACATTAGAAAAGTTTAATCTATATTCAGAGCCAGTGGCAACTGTCAAATCCACTTTCTCTTTCAGTTCTCTGTGTGTGTGTGTTCTGTGTATGCTCCTCATTTATTCATTTACTCCGCAATTAGTTGAAAGCTTGTCTATTTGTGAGCTGTCTTTGACATTCCACGTTTATTATGTTTATTATTCTGCTTGTTTGTTATTTGCAGAACTGCAGCATGGATATTTTCCACGCCACCCACTCCTGTTACATGTTTTATTGCAAAAAAGTCCATTATATTTAGGATATAATGCTTGTACCAGCAGGCATTAATATAGGGGACTAATTTAAATTTGGAAGCCTAAAAAGAAAGCATACCTAATGAAATACCTTGCGTAGGAAGAAGAAAACATATACTGTTCTCCCTACTTTCCTACCAGGTCTCATTTCTCCAATGATTTTCCTTTGACTCTTCTAAACTTTCACAGACAGCTCCCCGATCTCCCTCTTTTCCTCATTCTCTCCATCAAAACACTGTGAGCAAATGAGCATAGTTCTTCATCCATTTGCAGAAACAGCTTTTTTTTAAAAAAACAAACAAACCAGAATTCCAAAATTCAAAATACTCCAAGCATATCAGCTTCTGGATGAGAGCCAACAGCAATGTGGAACTGATCCACTCTCAGTCAGTGACTGCAGGGATCATTTTCCTGTCATGTCTTACACTGTTCTCTTGCTCAGCATCAGCAACATACATTAATTAAAGCATGGATCAGCTTGACATGAAAACCACGTTCATTCCCAGACCCTCTCCACACAGCCAATTGCTTCCGTCCACATATTTTCATGCTGCTGTGTGGCATTTGGCAGGGATTCCAAACTTCTCCTTTATCTATCCAGTTAGAGAGCACCAGAAACAAGAGGCAGTCCCAGCTGTGCTCTTCACTTTGGTGTATTAGCTCCTTACATGGAGAAAAGGAGAGAGGGGAGCCATTATTATGCAAGGAACAGAACTACCTTTGATGAGGAAGAAGAGGAAGAATGAACCCTCAAGTCAGTAACAATCCCAGAGCAGGGCTAAGCAGAAGGCATCTCTTGCCCAGCAGCTCTAGAGGAAGGGCGCTAAAACAATAATCACAGCCATTCCTTCTTACACAGAAGCCAAATTAACTTGCAGAGTTAATCGGCTCAGTTTCCAATGCGCAGACAGTTTGATTAAGAATACACAAGGGTGATATCAATCTTAAACTTGTTACTCTTTTGAGCATGGAAAAAGCATCACTGTACACTTCTACTCTAATCATAAAACAATGAATGGCAAGCAAGGGGTCTCTTTGTAGTTTCAGACTGAGAAGCAAACTACATGGCAGCGATTCAGTTCTTTTCTTTTGCTAGTTTCATGAATTCCATGATAAAAGAATTGTTTGCCAGGTAGATTGTCAGCTGATACATGCACAAAGCAGTATTTCTTTTAGCCTGGATGAATAAGAAACAAATGTCACGAAGAAAACCTTAAGAGTATTTTAAAATTCTAAAATTCTGATTTGAAAAATGATATAAGGTTCATGAGGAAGAGAACAATGCCACTATATGCCTCCTCAGAATAATTAAAGTTGGAGGGAGGGATGAAGACTCTCTCTCCAATCCCAAACGATTAAAGCCTATAAAAGCAAAACAACAGGGAACACCCACACATTTGCCAATTAGAGTCATTATGACTAACTGAATTATTCCTACTAAGGGGGAATAATATTTGGACTGATTACATATCTGGATGCTTCCTGAAATTTCGTCAAATATTAAAATGGCTGTTTGGATGCCATATAAACTTCTCCAGAATTCTCCTGCCAGTTCACTTTACTGAAAATATTTCTACATACAGAACTGCAGGTAGTCCTGAAATTTCAACTACAGCTGGGACCAAAGGCAGTTGTTAAGTGAACAAAACAGTATGTACAGCTAGTAATTGGCACAGAATTGAATTTAAAAATACTGAAGTTGTCCTTAGATAGTGAAGTAGACACTTTTCCATCCCATGACTAAAAATTAAGAATTGTCAGTGAACCTCAGCTGAATTTATGGCATCTGCTTCCCTTTCTATTCTGGTAGAAAGAAAGAGAGTGAGAGCAGGGTATTGAATTCTTCCCATTAATAGCCTGAAATGATATGGAACAGAAAATCTCTCTTCTTGGATAGATGATACTATTAGGTAATTTTTCACTATTAGATTATAATGTACAGTTAAAATACATAGATTTTTGTGACACAAAATTATAATGTGAATTTATCGAACAAAAATTTGGTAAGCCTTTTTAAAAATCCACAAAATTATATTTGTTGAAACACCTTTTTTTAAACTAAAAATGGTTACCTTTAAAAAAAACAGACATACAGAGATACTTCAAATACCATAAGCCAGAAAAAATGCTTCAAATATGTTGATCGCGTGTTATACTATAGCTTTATACCATGTTTCTCCATAGGAAGGCCCGGCACTGTTTTGTAGGCATGCAGTGTAATTAAGCCCTGCCCCCCAAATTTCTGCCTATTTAAAGCATACGGTCGCCGCCATTTCTCACATCACTTGAATAACACAAGTTGAAGAGAAATGGGGGGGAAGGGCGGGGGGGAAGTTGCCGTTAGGAGCGCCCCATGGGTAGCCTCGGCTAGAGCACCCCGTAGGTAGCCACGCTTGCCATCAGGCTGCTTCTATCCATGAGGAGTGCCCTGCGGGCAGACTTGCCTCACTATGAGGCTGCTCCTAGCGGCCAATAGAAGCACCCCGCGGTCAGACTCGACTTGCCACAAGCTGCTTCTATTGGCCAATAGAAGCGCCCCGAGGGCAGAGTTGCCTTGCCACCAGCTGGCTTGGGGAATACTAGGAGTTGAAGTTCACAGAGCTTAAAGTTGCCAAGGTAGAGAAATACTGCCCTATTATCTACCAGTATATATATTCAATAGGTTAGAAGGTTATAGATTTAGTCTGGCAAGATTCTGTCTACTAGGTGCAAGCAAATACATTAAACTTGGGTTTGGCTGAGGAATTTTGGAAGTTGAAATCCACAAGTTTAAAGTTGTTCAGGTTAGAGACCCCTGCATTAAAAAATGGATTTGGTTGGATTTCACTGTGTTATCTTTGGGTATGCTTGTAAGGTCAAGAAGACAGAAATTGTGTTATCTTATAAGCATCTATCCCAAGACAAGTCCCTTTTAAAAACAACAGTGTATAATATTGAGAAATATTTATTTATTAAACAAATTTATATGGCTACCCAACTCACACATGGTGAATTCAAAACCATAAAGAACTATAATTTAAAAACCCCAAGCCCACTGACAGAACCTTCTGGGCCTTTCAGAAATGTAACAAGGGTGGAGCCAATCCTATCTCCACAGGGATGATGTCTGACAAGGAGGGAACCAGTATGGAGAAGGCCTTTTTTCTTGGTCCCACCAGATGTATTTCCTTAATAAATGACATGCCCTGCCTTCCCATTTTGGTGAACCAGGCAGATGTAACTGGAGAAAGAGGATCTTTCAAATGAATTTAAAATAAATAAATTCAAAATACTTGCTTTAGTACCCAAGCAACCACTAATCACTACATTATTATAAACTGCCAGAAGCTTAAACAGTTTCAGTGGTATATTGGCCACATCAACCAACCTGTCAGCCTTCAAGAATCCTTCTTCTGCTTGTCTTTCCGGCTGCCATAGAAATGGGGGTGAGGGGAGGAAAAATTAATTATGCTTTATGGGAGCGGGAAGAGTGCTGGGGACTTGAGATGGTGAATTGTAATACTTGGAAAAACTTTGTTATTGCGCAGCTGTAGCTTCTTATCATCACTTCTTAAATACCACCTGAAGATGCCCTACATGACATTATACACATCTCAGATTGGATGGTCAGTTTGAACTATTGTGGGTGGGAACGTTGCCATAACTTTGTACATGTGATTTTCGCACCTAATGTCTCAGATCTTGAATTCTTTTGATGCTACCACTTGATTTCCAGTAAAAGTTCTTTTCTGTATAACAATGGAGTCTAAGGGTTTCTTTCTTGTATTTTGAATGGAGCCTCACCTGACACAATCAACATAAACTCCCTTCCTCCCAAATTGCAAAATGAAATGTGTATCTAAATAATTTAAGTACTACAGGCTCAGCGTGAGATACATATATCAGTTTTCACTCTGAAACTATTACCTATAGTCTCGGTGTATGTAGGCAGGGGGTTCTTTCCAGCAAGTATTTCCTTCCGGATCCAAGAGGCAATTATCAGCATGGACTGGGTGGCTGAGATCCATACGGCCTTCCTGTTCTCCTAAGGAAGAACAAAAGTTGCAACTGTTTTATTTCTTTGATTTTATTGCTCAATAGGCAAAAGAAACCCAAAGGCTGATTCCTCATTTTCTTCTATAACTACAGAATTTACAGTACATAGTACTGGTAGTCCTTGATTTACATTCAGGGATGGGATTCTACCAGTTCGCACCTATTCGCTAGAACTGGTTGTTAACATTCTAAGCAGTTCAGAGAACCGGTTGTTAGAAGAAATTACTGGCCTAATCCTGTAAGGAAGGCAGGAAGGAAACATTCTGGTGTTGCTTACAGAAACTGCCTCTCTGTTAACCCTTATTACATTCTTGGCAGGACTAGACTTCCTGTCTCAGGAACTTCTCTGGAGTTTTTTTTCCCTTCCTTTGCTGGTACTTTGCTTGTGTGGAATGACCATTCAAAGTTACAATGGCACTGAAAAAAGTGACTTATGACCATTTTTCACACTTACAACTGTTGCAGTATCCCCACAATCATGAGAGGCCAGGTGAGGAGATGCATGCCTCAATGTGAGTGATATTGAGGTGGTCATGCCCAGTCAATAACATGACCCCCAAGCCACGCCCACCAACTAAGCCACGCCCACAGAACCGGTTGTTAAAAAATTTGAATCCCACCCCTGCTTACATTTAGTGATTGTTCAAAGTTACAATGAGAGAAGCTGGAGTCACTCAACAACGTGTAATTCACGTAATCAACGGCAGTGATTTGCTTAATAACTATGGCAATAAAGATCATAAAATTGGGTGTAACCACCTTGTTAGCAACAGAAATACTGGTCCCAGCTGTGGTCATCAGTTAAGGACTGCCTTTATTTTTATTCTAGTAGGATGGAACCGGCTTGAGACTTTAAAAAATGTATATTGCTCTCCATTTCTCCTCCAGCAAAATTCCTCTGAACGTTTCAGCCAGGATGACTTAGGAGAGAGAGCAAAATCTCAGTTTCAAGCAGAGACCCAGCTTATCATAGGACTGCTTTATCTGGCTTATACATATAGCACTCAATACGTTCCTCCATTAGTTTTGCTAAAGCTGTTTCTCTCCTGCTACTCCATCTCTCTCTCCCCACCTTCTCTCCCCCCGCCCCTTGCTTTATTAGCAATAGTAATAGCACTTAAACTTATATACCGCTTCACAGTGCTTTTACAGCCCTCTCTAAGCCGTTTACAGAGGCAGCATGTTGCCCCCAACAATCTGGGATTTTACCAATCTCAGAAGGATGGAAATCTGTGTCAACCTCGAGCCATTCAGAATCAAACTGCTGGCCTGCAGTACTGCATTCTAACCACAGCGCCACCATGGCTCTTAAGTAATTCAGTGTGGTGGATTTAGTGTTTTGATGGAGGATTAGTTTAGCAATCCTTTCTTCTACATTTGACCCTTGACCTCATTTTCTGATGGCAGAAAATCCACAGTTTTCTTATCTTTGTTTTAATGTAGACTACTTTTCATTATATACGTTCTGGGAAGCATCGTTCTCATCGACCACATTATTGTTATTTTTAAACCTGCCTTCCTTCACTGGTAAACATGTGCATGTACAATTAGCACATTTTAAATTTATAAAAAATGAAAATTTCAAATAGCACCATAACTTTTCACTTCCTCTGCAATTGCAAAACTAAACTATAAACCCATCCTATAAATTAAAAGAATAAAACATATATAACTGTACACTCTTCACCAATTTGTTTTGCAATTACAATGTTATACATAGTTATATGTGGCACATTTTTGTCAGCACAGCCTGTATTGTACTGAATTCATGAATATGCTATTAATAACCATAGTTGCAAAATATATAGACGTTCTGGCACCAAATAAAAAAATGGGATCCAATCTAGAACACAGCTAACACTGACAATGTAAGATTATTTTATATAGGTATGAGCTTCTCTTCCTGGATTGAAAAAGGTGTATTTAGTGGATATGAGTTTATGGGACTTTGTATTTGATATATAGCACTTTGACTTATATACTTATATGCTTTACAGCCTCTCTAAGCGATTTACAGAGTCAGCCACTTTATTGCCCCCAACAATCTGAGTCCTCATTTTACCGACTTCAGAAGGACGAAAGGATGAGTCAACTTTGAGCCGTTCAAAATCAAACTCCTGGAGTGAGCAGTGAGTTAGCCTGCAACGTTACATTCTAATCACTGTGCCGCTGTATCGCCATGGTTCTTTATATGCTTTAAAATCAAAACATAATCCTAATATCACAAAACAGTGGATTTTTAATTTTCAGCTCAAAATCAGAATTCATATTTGAAATTTTGCTCATAAACTAAAGCATGAGAAAGTGGCATATTTTGAATGTCCCTAGACATGTTTTTGTTTCTGATATTTACTGCTTTATTAATAAACATCAGATGCCTTTGCCAAAGTTATATAACCAAATCTATGTTCACCACACATTCCAAGATGAATAGTCTGCATTATTTTCCTTTTGTATAACTTCAATTGATTGATAGTTTTTGCAATAAATTTACCAGCAATACCATATAACCATGTTAGAATGAGCTGCATTACAAATTGTGATTATAAACATGGAACTCTTACATTGCACATCTCAAGAAAGTACTTAAGAGCTCCTTACCATCTGTGGCTGTGCGACACACAAGATGTGTGAAAGAAAAATAAAGATTTTTCCCAGGAGTAAAATAGGATTCCACAATTTTCCGGGATTTCTCACTGGCTTGCAGGAGAAGTTTAGTATCTTTCCAGTTCATACTACTCTCCTCAGCCAGCTATAACAGAAAAACAAACCAGTGCAATACTTAATTTCTATTAAATCTCAGGAAGATCCAGGGACATTTATGAAAAAGAAAACTGATAAAGACCCATTATTAATATTCTTAACAAAATAGGGTGAAAGAGATGGCTTCTCTAACATCAAGTCAGAGAAGAAATTCAGATGGTGACAATTTTCTTTTGACACCAAGGGTGTCAAACTGGCAACCTGCAGGCCAGATGCATCATGTGCAGACCACAGTTCCACGAAGGGGTGGGGTGGGGGAATCTCAAAACATCATGTGATGTCAACATGACACCACGAGTTTGGCACCCATGCCCTAGGCTGTCAGTTAATTGTGTATTTATTTTATAAAGTATCAATAAAGTGTGAGAGAAAACTTTTTTAACTCCTTTACTGCTTCCACTTTATGCTTTTTGTTTACCTTGATAAATGATATTAAATACAAATGTTCATTTTATTTTCAAACAAATGAGAATTGAGTGAAGATTCCACCCCCGGTCATAAAATGTCCTTAAATTCTTTTATCTCATCATCACTAAATTGTGTCTGCCTGTTTGTGACCCCATGGACCATAGCATGCCAGCCTTCCCGCCTCCCATATTCCACTGTCTCCCAAAGTTTGTTGATAATAATTGTTCTCCAAGTCTCTCTTGTAGGCAAACCGGGACTGCAAAATAGGTAGAAAACCCAGAGGCCAGGCAGAAAGAGGTGGTTTCACTTGTTAGGGTTGAGCAGATAATCACCTCAAACAGGTCACTTCAGCCTCCTCCTCCTTTCTGCACCATGGATTGCCCAAGTGGAAAATCTTGAGCTGGGATTAGAGTGGAAAATACATATTCTGGAGAGAAGGACCAGCAGGGCACTTCAGGCCACAGGCTGATCTTGAGACATTCCTAGGTAAAGGATGAACAATATGGACTCTGGAAACAAGCTCTATGGTGTATTCGCTGCATGGATATGGCCATACATGGAGCAGAACTACATTCCCAAGGTTTAATTTAATTTGCTTTTTTATTTGCTTTTTGATTACTACCTTATTTCCCCATTTAATTTTATTTTTCTTAGTTTTCGCCATATTTTCTTTGGTCAATAAAAGAAAAGTAAACATAGAAAATGAAACATGTTTTGTATTGTTTTACACACTGTACATTTGCTCCAGCCTGATCTCCTTTTCACCTGATTCTAATCCTATCTCCCAATCTGTTTGCTTTATGAGGTGCCCCATGTGCATATTTGGAATCTTGTATAAAAAGATTCCAACTACGATTTACAGAGTAATTTTGCTTTGATTCAGAAAGAAGGAAAAGTTAAAGCATTTGTTTAATTCTCAGTTGAGACTTGTACTATCCTTTCCCCCAAAAAATAGCAACTGGAAAACTTTTCACATTTATTTGCATAATGCATATAGTTTAAATTTTAGGAAAAAGAAGAGGAAGATGTGCATTTGTCCCCACCCATCTTGAATATTAACTTTGTAATGTATATTTATATCTAGAGTCTGTGAAACTGAAGTGGGGGTGGGGGAGGGGAAAAATCCTCCAGGGCAAGGGTCTCCAACCTTGGCAACTTTAATCCTGGCAGACTTCAACTCCCAGAATTCCCCAGACAGCTTTGCCAGCCTTTGCCTTTAATCCTTTGCCAGGATTAAAGTTGCCAAGTTTGGAAAGCCCTACTCCAGGGCGAGAAACTTAGTTCATTCTAGAATCCCTAAGGCTTTTACCTGCAAAGCTTTTGTCACTGTTAAGCCTTCAAATCGCTCGTGTGGAGTATGAGGGGAGCGTCTGCCACGATAGCCATCTCCTGTTCCTCCAGCTGCCTGAAAGACGCACAAACTTATAAGAGACCTGCGATTGCCCTTCACCAGTGAAAAGCTTCTTTTTCTGTCAGACCTGATCACGCAGGGCATTTTGGTGGCTCCTATCCTCACCTTGGAGAGACGGAGGATGTCTTTGCATTCTGACTCAGTCAGGACTCTGTCAAAGACCACCCTCTCAGTACCATTGAGTTGGTGAGAATCCATGGTGATGGTGAGGTCCTCAAAAGGTAGCTGTTCTGGAAAAAAATAAGCAGAAATGTATATAGAGATGCAATCAAACATTACTATTCATCCGTGAGTGCAAAAGAAGAAATATACCTGTAGGCCTCAACCTATGATCACCATGGAGCCCAACATTTTTATTGATAAGTTAAGTTTTGTTAAGTGAATTTTGCCCCATTTTACAACTTTTTGTGCCACAATTGTGAAGTGAACCACTGCAGTTGCTAAGTTAGTAACATGGTTGTTAATCTCCCCTTTGTTGGTCAGAAGGTCGCAAAAGGTGATCACATGACCCCGGGACACTGCAAAAATCATTAAATAGGAGTCAGTTGCCAAGGCTCTGAGTTTTGATCATGTAGCACTTAGACTTCACAGTGCTTTACAGCCCTCTCTAAGTGGTTTACAGAGTCAGCTCAGCGTATTGCCCCCAACAATTTGTGTCCTCATTTTACCCACCTCAGAAGGATGGAAGGCTGAGTCAATCTTGAGCCTGGTGGGATTTGAACTGCCAAATTGTAAGCAGCTGGCTGCAGAAGTACCACTAAAATCATAGCTGCTACAGTCTCATTTGTGATAGAATTCCAAAGTGTTGGAAAAACTGAGGTAAAGGTCCCTACAGCACTCATCACCCTTGACTCATGCACCAGTACAGTCATAAATCAAGGACTATCTATAGTCAAATAGAGAATCCATCTCTGTCTCTGTTTGTCTGTCCTCCCTGGTCTTCTGTCTATCTGCCTTTCTGTCTGTGTCACACACATACAAAAACACACACAGCACAAACTAACACATAAAGAGTTGACCAATGAATCTTTTGAATAAATGCACATTTAGGAATCACTGTATTAATTTAAACAGAAATATAATGCATCTTATCATAGTGAGGTAGACTGTGACCCGGTGATATCCAGCTGTTGTCCAATTTCAAAGTTATTTTCTCCTTTCTGCCTACCCAAACCAATACTTCCAAATATGGTGAAATATAGCACCCACCATCCTTAATCAGCATGATGTAAGTCGTATATCAACATATCTGAAGGGTAATAAGGTGGAGAAAACCATATTTTATTTGAACTAGGATTTATTGGTTGACATCCAAACTGAGGACAGTTCTCTGTGGAGGAGAAGCTGTGGCCACCCTATTGTTGATATGCCTCTCTGCCCAACAGGTACTCTGAATACATCTTTGGTGCTGAGATAAGTTCTATTGCTTTACCATCCCTTTGGGTCCCTGTGGCAGCTAGTAAACTGGAATCCCAAATGATTCCAGGCTTCAGCAGGTGAACTTCAGTACTGGGAAGGAGACTTACTCCATCTCATCTTTAGGAGAAACTGTGGAATCATCCTGCTGGAGTCTCCCTCTTCCCTCATTATGATAAGAAGAAGAAACATGATAATCTTTCTTTCCATTTATCGATTATTTTTCTGGTACTCACCATTTTGATCCCATTGTTGAATATGTGAGGCCTTCAAACTTCGTTTCTCCCGATCTTCTCTTGGGATTAGTAAACAAATATAGAAAAGGCCATAACCATAGGGTATGAGACTGCCTCTTTAATTAAATAGCTCAGCAATAAATCAAATCTGTTCTAATTTCTATTCTGTTACATTTAAGGATTCTTTAAAAAAACTCTGAATCATTGCCTTTCGTTAAGATGTCCCAGAATTGCATCCATAATATTATGTTTCTACTCTGAAATTTACCTGTGTTTCTCCTTCATGCTTTCAGGGATCAGTTCCTCAGGAGTCCATAAATCCTAAAGAAACACATCCAGGACTTAGCACTACAAAATTAAGTTTATTGGCCCATTTTCTTTTTTCACAGGACTGCATTAGAGCAGACACTACCTCACCACAGCAGGCACATGTGTCCTACTTTCTGGCTATTCCACACAGCAGAAATATTTGTGAAACTTCAGCAGACTGAGAGAAAAAAATCATCTGTCCTGTTTCCTGTAGTTCTACAAGCAGTGTGCTCCTTCCCACACAATCAGTAACAGCTTTTTAGAAACACTTCCATCTATAATTAGCACCTTTACTGTGGTAGCACACCACCTTTGAAACAATTTTTCCATAGATACTTGGCCAGCATTAAAATGCTATCATTCTAAAGACCTTTATTTGACATATATTTTAAAATTCTATGCTGCTTTATGTTTACTTTGGTATATGACTAGTATTCTTCTGATTTATTTTAGTTTGGTATTGTTTTAGAATTTTATTGTGTTGTAACATAGCATATTTGGGGTGTTATGCTTCTTGCATATTGCCCTAATAGGCTTAGAAGATGTTGGCTGAAAAAGGCTTATAATAAATGAACCTATGTCCTTAAAGCATAACTTCGTTCAGTTCATTTCAGGCATTGGAAAAGGAGGACAGAAAAGGGATCCTATATGCTATTTCATCAAGCAGTATTTGATAGATAAGATCAATAAATAGCTTTGTTGCAAGGAAGCCATGAAGAATCTACCTTCAAAGAGAGATAACTACTTACTGGATCCTTAAAAGTTTCATCAAGGTGCTGTACTGCATAATAGATCAGTTTCTTTTCCATACAGGATCTCTGCACATAACGGCGGATATTCTGTGGATTGAAAGCAGATGTTAAAACATGATAATATAAAATAATGTACAAAAATCATAAATGATTTGAGTGTTTCTTGTTCAAGAAAACAAGACACAAAATACACACAACCATCTCTGCTGCAGGCAACCAATCCTGCCTTCAGATCAAATTAGGTGTTATAGTCAAAATGAGCTTCACATTTCGGTCTTGTGGTCCTAGTCATGGCAGAGACAGGGATTAATGCCACCCCATGCTGCAACCATCCTTGCAGTTGTAACTTGCCCCTGAAGGGAAGCTGCTAGCCAACAGCAACTTGGGGCAATGTTATATGTGGCAATTATATATATTGTCAGTTACACCTGAGAAAATAAAGAACAGAAGAGATTCCATATTTATCCAATATGTGACCTTTTAAATGATTACTGGACAATTATATAACTGTATCTAATAAACATATTATGTTTTGTAACTTGTTGTGTTTTAAGAGTAAAATGTCATATCCTTGGCTTGGAGTGGAGGTTTGAAATTTTGGCTTGAGAATTAATGTAAGAGATGCTGGATCACCCTGACACAACGGAAACCTGCTAATTGTGTTTAGATGAACACAACAGGAAGAGAAGCCATGAGAACAGGGTAGTTTCCAAAGACAGGGAAACAGGTGTTACGCAACAATAGTATGGGTGTGGCGTAGGGAGATACATAGTTGGATAGGTTGTGAACCCAGGAAAGGGGCAGAGACTGTATATTTGAACCTGTATATAAACCCCAGTCCTCCTGGGGAAAATGTCTTTTGCCATGAGCAGAATTCCCTTTTGCAAAAGCTTAATAATAAAGCTCTTCCATATTGTTCACTGTCTCCGACTGTATTTTGTGAAATTATCACAGCTAAACAGCAGTGATAGAACTTCTAGAGGACAAGAGAGAGAAATTATCCATAACTTTCATCCTAGACTACTGAAAATTCAGTTCCCTAAACCAACACTAGGTTTTACACCTCAGGGAATCAAAGAGGTGGGCTGCAATAGATTGAAACAAGTAAGAGATCACTTTCTTCCCAAGCAAAAGCAGCTGCTTGCCAGCTAAACAAAACTTAGTTGATTCATGGTCATCAAATTGCGTGAGCATCAGAAAAAGAAGAAAGAGAAAGTAAGGACACACAGATTCCTTGCCAGAGGGATTATGGGTAATGGGCTAAGAATGAACTGGAGACACTTTAATTTGGTGCCTATCCAATTGTCTCTTTGCTTTACCAATTCATTCATTCTTGCCATTCACTGTGAAGACCTTATTGCAGTCCCAGACCAATATTTAAGAGTAGACAATATTATAACACATGAAATATTATATATTCTGTATAACAGGACTTATACAGAAAGTAATAGTGTAAAGGATGATCTTTATAAACTACGATTTGTTAAAAAATCAGCAACCTTATTAGAAATAACTAAATGTTATTTAGTTAACATTTGGGATAGAAAGATCAGAGGAGCAATAAGATTTCTAATGATTGGTGTCATGAGTTCTATTGTTCATTTATTCTAAAGTGTAGCAGTGCATATGGAACACATTCAACTTCTATACCTACCAATAAACATACTGTGATTTTCATAGAAGATATTATATATCTACCTGTTTTTGCTCTAACAGGCAATTTGTCAATTTGTAAGCTAATGCTGGGAAAGAAACAAAATAAAAGAAAGGATCCCGAGGTATAGCTTTCAAAATTGGTATTGGATGGCTTCTAACCTACTGTAGAAGCATCCTTATAAATACATAACTGAATGTCTTGAATGTAGTTTTACTATGCTGACATGTATATTTAATAATTGCAAAGGATGCTTTGGGGGCTCATATGAAAAGGTTCTTTGCTTTATTGATCTAGCAAGTAGATGATTGAAAGTGGATGCCTAGGTATTTAAAAGCCATGATTTGTTCAATACTGTAGATCTATCATTAATCGTCCACTTAATTAAATGCTTGAAACACTGAAGAATATTAAAACCTTTGTTTTAGAGTAATTGATCTCAAAGTATTCCCTATGGCAATAGGAAGACAATGCTTTAAGCCATCTACATAAACCCACCTGGATTATGAAAGAATAGCTCCACTATTGACACAGAGAGCAATGAATAAGAGTTGGTGGATAAAATTCTAACCATATTATCGTCTAATTTATATATTAATACATGGTTATAGCAAAGACTACATCTACTACTACTGCTAGATGGATTCATAGTTGAATGACTGCATCCAGTGAGAACCTATTAGTGGCTTCCTTCAATTTATAGAAGGAAATATGGAGAGGAGTGCCACAGGGTCCAATCTTGTAGTGTTCAATAATTTTTATTAAAGACTTGGATGAGAAACTGACAGGACACAAAGTATGCAGATGGGAAAGATGATTAATATTTTAGATGAAAGAGTGAAGATGTTAATAAATCTAGACGGGCTTAAAGAGTGGGTTGAAATGAATAGGATTGAATTTAGTAGGGAGACATATAAGGTTCTGTATCTTGGTAAGAAAAATGAAAAGCACTATAGAGTGGAAGAAAATTTGATTAGCAATAGTATTTGTGCAAGTGACCTGGATGTCCCTGTTGAACACATATTAAATATGGTGCAGCTGCTAAAAGGCAAATGCTACTTTGGGATTTATTAACAGTAGCACAGAGTCTAGATGATGGGAAGCAATTGTTTCATTCTATGGCACCTTGGTAAGTCTCCCTTCAGAAAGCTCTATCTAGTTCTGTGCCCCACAATTCAAAAAGGATAGTGACAAATCAAAATAAGTTTGGAGTATGACTGTCAAGATGGTGAATAGTCTGGAAACCAAACTCTATGAAGAACTAAAGGATCTGAGTACATTTCATCTATAGAAAAATATTTAAGGGACGATAAGTCAGAAGGGTTATCACACAGATGAGAGCATGGTTGGACCTATTCTCTATTGCCCAGAGGGCTGGACCAGAACCAATGAATGAAAATTATAAGGTGCCAACTAGACATCAGGAGAAACTGAAGGACTGTCAGCAGTGGGTTACCACATGAAGTGGCAAGTTCTCCTTTGTAAAAAAAAAAATCTTCAAACAAAGGCTAGATAGTCATCTGTCAGGGAATGTCTATTGGGAACCTCCAAGGCCCCTTCCAACTCTATGATGCTATCACTAAAACTTTATTAATTTGTCAAAAGAGAACTGAGAAAAGATTTCAGATAAGAGAAATGCTGCTGGCTACCTCTCTGGCTGGAATAGCTATTTCTTTTCCCAGGTCTGCTTGGTATTCTTTCAACCTCTCCAGCATTTTTTCATCTGATGGATAGAACAGCAGGAAGGTAGCTGCACATTCAGCAGCAACAGTCCGATTTCCAACTAAAAGAAAGAAAGTGATCTTCACTGTCATGTTTGTTCCATCTGCCATTCTGGCAAAGCTTGACCCTAGAGTCTTACATGAATTTCTCAGCTGTTCATTTCTTGCTTACCTCTGTCATAGGCAAACTGCAATAAATCAAAATGAGATGGGATGAAATCTTCCGTGGAAGACACCCTGCCTGGCTTGGTGGCAATATCAAGGACACACTGCTGCCTGCATTTCAAGACCTGGACATAATGAGCTGGAAAGTAGAAAGAAACACAAGGGCCTTTGGCATCACGACAAGATACAGCTGGAACAAGTATTGCAAGATTCCTACATTTTCTGTGCTTCTTATTTCACCATTCAAGTAATGCATGTTAAATTTAAAATATGTAGTTTGAATGTGACATTTATTTCAAAATCTAACTCTTGTTGGCCTATCTATATTGTTTTGGCTTGTGTCAGTATGACAACTTATGCAGTGCTGATTGCCTATACAAGTTAAGTGCAGAATGCTATGTTGTTTATTATTATTTTTTTAAAAGACTTAGGTGAGCAAAGATTGGAGAAAAATGGCCTCAATTTTAGCAGGCCAAGCAAGACTTCTACGTCATGCAAACTAGAAAAAAGACAAGAAAGTGTGGATCAGAGATTGGAGACTGAAAAGATCCCCAAGGAAACATATCCAATGCCTGAATTAAGTCTGCATTACTATTACTATCAATCCTCTCATCGTTCCTATCACCCATCCCCTCCCATTTATAACTGTTTGGCTGTAACTTTGTTGCTTGTATCCTTATGATTTATATTGACTGTTTCCTAGTATGATTTAATTGCTTATTTGTACCCTATGACTATCATTAAGTGTTGTACCTTATGATTCTTGATGAATGTATCTTTTCTCTTTATGTACTGTACACTGAGAGTGTATGCACCAAGACAAATTTCTTGTGTGTCTAGTCACACCTGGCCAATAAAGAATTCATTCATTCATTCATTCAGTTAGAAGTTAGCTGGATATCACTTTTCAACTGTAGCATTTACAACCATGTTTTTCATCCAGTCAGAACAGAATTTTTGTACGAAAGGATTTTGTGCTGGGCTCTGATATTGACTAATAACCATCTCCTCATTTTCCCTAGGAGAGTGGAGTCCTTTTTGATTATTGTTATTGGTACAAATTAAAAAATCTTCCAAATTTACTGCATTTTATTCTGAGACCTATTATTTGATTTCCTCATCTCAAAATGCCTTTTAAAATCCTGATAGATTGGAGCCATACATTCATTTGAGATGCCTCCCTTCTCATTGGCCTATTTTAAAACTGAGAAAATTTCTAATTTGTAAGATTGTTCAGGGATGCAACATTTGGAGGATGAAGGAAACTAGTAATGAGATGTTCTGGTAGTCTTACAAATCCAATCAAGCAATCAATCCTTCCTGGTATTTCTGAACTTTTGGGGGGGTGGGAGAGACTGGCACATTAAATATTGAGAACATGGTCATAGACATCCCTGTAAATTTCAGCACAGACTCCCAATTTTTCAATGTGTTTTTTTAAAGTAGCCAATAACTTAATTTTCTCCCATATCTGATTCCAAATTTCAGGATTCTCCCCTTCCCTATTTTTTTTTGCAAAAGCTAGTATAGCTATTGTGAGAACATGAAAAAATGGCAATTGTATCTCTACAGAGACACTCTTTCTAATCAGTTTTAATAAGTCCACAACAAGATCCATTGCTACCCTTAATATTTACTCATTCAAACAATTTCTTCTAAAAAGTAACTGTAAAATTTCACTGATTAAGAGCTATACCTCATCTAAATGCTTCTATTTTTTTAAAAAAACACCTTTTTCATTGATCTCCCATGTCATGCTCACGTATGCTGTGTTATGCAGTGAATCGTTTTCCTCACTGAGATAAAAGGGCTACAGGATTTCCTCAGTGAAGTATTTTACATCACCTCAAAGCTTCATACAGTAGTTCCAATACTCAGTTCTCTTTGGTTATTCCTGAAAAGAAAGCCTCGGAAGCAAAAGGCTGTGTTGCTTTGCAAAACAGCTTCAAAAGGATATTTTGCTCAATCTTTTGTCCAAGCGACATATTCCTTTGAAGATCTGCAAATCTCCTTTTAAAAAGGCTGTTTCTTTCAGACAGTGCCTTATGTTTTTCACATACTTGCCAACTCAAACAATTCATCATACTTTACTAAACCTTTGATGATACCCGCAATGCTTTCATAGAGGCCTAGTTGTGTCTCATCCTTGTCCTCATCTTCGCGAGGCCCTTCACAAAGAGCTCTGCAATTCTCCAGTGCCAGCAGTGCCTCTCTGAGCGATTCTTCTAGTTTTGCTGCTGCCTGCTGGTAGTTGTCCATACCATAATGCTGCATCCCAGCTTCATAAGCTACCTGCAGAGTCAGAGAGAACCAAGCCATCTTTTGTTAAAGCCTAGGGATTGTTCAGGAGGTGACTACAGTACCCAAAGAAGATTACAATTATGTATTCAAGAGTACAAGTAGTCCTCAACTTACAACCAATCCTTTAGTGATCATTTGAAGTTACCGCAGCATTGAAAGAACAACTTACAACTGATCCTTGCCCTTATGACCTTTGAAGTATCCCCACACTCATGACAAGTGACCATGCTGTTCTGTTTTGCCTACTGCTGTGGTGGTTCAGCAGAACATACTGTATTATCTCCAAAAATTTTCAGATCATTTTCAAAAAAAATTGGGGGGGGGGGGGAATTTCCCTTAGAAGCATTTGCTTAATTTAAATCCTGCTCTACAATTACAACAATAATTTAAAACACATTTTAAAAGTTTTTTAAAAGAGAAAAACTGGATACAAACAAAAACATCACTTCTAGAGATCGATAATAATTCAACATAAAAGAGCAGTTTCTTTTTTTAAAAAAACAGTTGTATGATTTCTGTTAAATAATTGTTCCATTTGTGACTATTGCAGAAGTATAATAATAATAGTTTAAAGAAGGTTAAGGCAAATTTTCAATTTTAAAAAAAGGAGACCACAATGAAGCCTACTGGAAAGAAACAAGTAGTAACAATACAGCACATTTAAACCTTGCTTTACATATCAGCAAGTTTTCCTAATTTCTATTGTTCTGCTTATTTAAATTTACAGAGGAAATGTTATGCTGCAGTTCTGTTCTGAAAAATTGCAGAAAAAATATGAGAAAAACACAAGAGGACAATGTTTTCTTAACTCTTAGAAAGCAAGGACTAGCCAGCACAATTACCTAGAAGAGTCAACATATGCTTAGGCCTTTAGAATCATGACTCCCAATCTCTACACAGCAACCCTTCTGATCTGTTCTATAACATCCAGTTTTCCCAAAACATCTCACCCAATGTGGTTGAGCCTCCAGATCCCGAAAGCTTTCAGATTTTACCCCTGCCATACGCTGGTATTTCTCCATATCCTCACGCATTTGTAGATGCCGTGGATTGGCTACAAAGAATGTATGAGCCGAAGAGACAGCTTCATCCAGTTTTTTTAACTGTAGAAAATGGAAAATAAAATCATTTTTGATTGAATGAAGAACACAAGGGAATCATCTAAGTTTGGGAGCAGGGACGTTAATAAGGAATACAGTAACCCCTCTGGTTGGATCCATTTATTCCTGGATAGTATTACTGACTAAAATATCTGTGAAATAATGTTTATTATATCATAATTGTATCATAATTTTATCATAACTCACATGCTAATTGTAATTAGCAGACACACAGACATACAGGCACATACGCACACACACACATGAAACTATAATATACCATCTCATTTGATTTTTAAAATCCTTATTCTGTGTAGTCAATCTGCAGGAAACCTCATCCCACATGCATTGACAGCTATGTGACATCTGGGTTGAATTCACATTAACACTTTAACACTTTTCTGACAAGTACAGCTGGCAGTTTTATTTATTTTATTAGAATTATAAAGCCTAATCATCATAGCCACTCTCACTTAGGGTGGGAAAAAATGCTCTTTTAAAAACTAGGTGGAGAACTCTAAAGAAACAGAGGAATAAGGAGTTACCTCAAACTTGAGAAATGGAGAGGAGTCTTCTCAGCTACCGATTAAAAAAATAAACTAGCTACAAAAAGTTCAACAATAACAACAACCACAACCACAATTAAATAAACCAAGTTGAGGACTATTATTCTGGAAATCAGGTTATTTAAATAGAAACAGCTACAATCTAGACAGTGTTACATTTAGAATCATATTTTTACATTCTATGTGTTTAAATTATCTTTCTTCTTTTTTTCTTCCTTTTAATTTGTCAAAAAAGCAACAACCCCAACACTGACTGTTGGAAGCCCTCTCAGTCTTAGATAGTGATGGATGCCAACTGATCCTTCTCAACCCCTGGAAGGAAGGAAGGTCTAATAAACTTCAAGGGCAAGGCAAAAAAATGAAGTTATGATATGTAAACCCAAAGTAAAAAGGAATTCAAGATCTCCAACCTTTCACCCTGTAGGATCAGCTTTGCTAACATGGTCCCCAACTAGAATGCCAACAGCAGGTCAGCTGGAGACATTTTACAGATTGAGGAATATTGTGTTTTCTCACAAATTAACTTCATTACACCACCCAACTATTTTGTCATCACAGACGAAACAAAAAAGCACTATAAATATAACATCAGTAGCAACAGCAATGCTAAACCAACATTTTATTGCTCATTCATTGGCTATCAAGTTATTGTTCATTCCACGTTATCTCACAAACTCTAAATTAGGGTCCTGTGAGATTAATTATTTTGTTTTGAAATGGCCAGCAACCAGTGCTTTTTAAAAGGCAGCCCAAGCCCAACATTTACATGACGAATGTATCTTTTCTTTATGTACACTGAGAGCATATGCATCAAGAGAAATTCCTTGGGTGTCTAATCACACTTGGCCAATAAAGCATTCATTCATTCATTCAAAATCAATAGATGGATCGACATTTCATGCAAGACAGCAGTACAAAATAATTAAAATCTGATGTCAGGAGTTTGCTCAAGTTTTTTCAAAGGAACTCAGTGACTGGACTACTGGTTTCAATGAAAAAAGAAAAAGCAACGAAAATACAGATGCAGTGAAAATAAAGTTGTGTGGGAGGGCTGAGATTACTGTCTTGCACCACCCCCCATCTTTCAAGAGTCTTCAACAGAGGTTACTTATACCCAACAGACGATTTCAGTACTTTAAACCTGTCCCTCACAACCCATCTCTAAGAATGCATCGAAGAACAGAAACACAATATTAATGCAAAGAATGTCTTTAAAAACTGGGTGGATAACAGACTAGTTGAAATTCAAAGCCACGGGAGTCTGTCTCTGCAGGAAAATTTTAAGAGCTTCCTGGAATTTAGGAAGGTATTCGATGCATGCTAATACTCCGGTGAGGGTTGGGCGGTTTGGGGGTAACTGTTGCGCTGCTCTTCTCGCGGGCCGTGGGAGAGGATGGCCGAGGACAGGCAGCCACATCAGCAGCTGCAGTATACAGAGAGTCCCGCCCTCTCTGCCGCTCACCTTGAAGTAGGCAATTTGTAAGTAATTGTAGGGCTCCCTCTCTTCAAACTCCCGTTGTATGACGCGGCTGGTTCGGTAGCGGGACGGCTGCCCGCCCAGCTTCAGTCCCAGACATTCCTCCAGGCATTCTGCTCGCTGCAGCACCCGGTCAAAGAAACTGGTCTCCCACGGCTGCAAAGGCGACGGGCTCTCAAAACAGGTTTCCTTCTGGCATCCGCTTCGGCACTTTCGGCGCGCCTCCTGCAGCTGCGAATAGCTGTGGAGAGAGCGCTGGAGCAGCTCGGAGGCCCGAGGCCAGTCCTGGGCGAAGTACGCCCGCACGCCGTCAGCGTAGAGCGAGTCGAAAGGGGCTACGTGGCTCGACCCTGAAGAGAAGCAGCCGCAGCTTCCAGCGAAGAGGAGGAGGAGGAGAGCGAAGGAGAGCATGGCCGAGGCAAAGAAGGGACGCCCGGAAGCGGGATTCGCGGGAATGAAAGGCAGAAGAAAAGCTGCCAACGTAGCTGGAAGGAAGGGGGCGGGCGGGCGGAGAGAGACAGAGAGACAGACGGAGAGATGCCTCGGCTGCTTTCCGCTCTTCTGCTTGGCTGGGATGGAAAGGGGGCCTGCTGGAAGGCAAGGAGGAGGCGGAGACCCAAGGAGGAGGAAAGAAAAGGTACGGTACTGGAGAGCGGCCCATGGCTGGAAAGTCCTCCTCAAGCGGAGGGGTTGGCGAAGGAGCGAGGTAGCCCTGGCATTCTGGGTTCCAGTCATTGGGCGAGGGAGGAGAATCTCTCCGAAGGCAGGGAAGGAGGGACTGGATGGACGCTTAAGCAGACGTCTCCCACCTCAGAACACATTAGAGGCTCCGGCCTTTGAAGTACTGCATATCCATAAATGCTCTCTTTAAACTAAAGGTCCCCAAACTTAGCAACTTTAAGACTTGTGGACTTCAACTCCCAGAATTCTTCCTCCAGTTATGTTAACTCAGGAATTCTGGGAGTTGAAGTCCACAAGTCTTAAATTTGCCAAGTCTGGGGACCCCTCTTTAAATGGAAGTTCGCCTTTGTTTGCAGATAAAACGCATGTATGGTTTATTACTTGTATTTTGCTACAGATGCTTTGGCCTGTGTGAGCCGAAAAGGCCTTTAATGAGTAGCTATAGAGGTGAAAAAAGGGCTTGAGCCTTAATTCCCCCCTCCCCAATCTTTGTATTATAACAGGTGATTCATCTGAGACTGCTGTGGAAGATGCCCATCAGTTATTTTAGAGATGACAGTATCACAGCAGGTGGCAACATCTGGTTGACCCTGGCTGGACAGGGATGCAAACCTGCAGGAAATTCCAACTGCAGTACTGTGCATTTGACCTCTTTTCTTCTTTTTTTGTTTTACCATTTGCACACTTCTTAAAAACTCAGTCCTGCTATGCCCAATTTACTTTTGTATTTCTCTTAACCCACTCACTCCTATACTATATAACAGAGCAGACCTACACATCCTGGACATAAACTGTTTCATCTCCTACCCTCAAAACGACACTATAGAGTACTGCACACTAGAACAACTAGACACAAGGACAGTTTTTCCCCCAAATGCCATCACTCTGCTAAACAAATAATTCCTTCAACACTGTCCAACTATTTACTAAGTCTGCACTACTATTACTATTAACCTTCTCATCACTCCTTATCACCCATCCCCTCCCACTTGGGCCTGTATGACTAACTTTGTCACTTGTATCCTAACAATTTATATTAACTGTTTCCTAGTATGATTTGATTGCTTATTGTACCCTATGACTATCACTAAGTGTTGTACTTTATGATTCTTGATGAATGTATTTTTTTCTTTTATGTATAGTGAGAGTATTTGCACCAAGACACATTCCTTGTGTGTGCAATCACACTTGGCCAATTAAGAATTCTATCTATCTATCTATCTATCTATCTATCTATCTATCTATCTATCT